TCTTCTGCTTCTTTTGCTTCTTCTTCTTTTCTTGACGGGAGAGGCACTCACTTTTATAGGGTTCAGTTGTTGCTAGGCAGACTATCTTACAGGGCGGGTTGTGAAGCAGGAGATCTTACAGGGCGGGTTGTTTACCAAGCAGGAAGCAGGAGATCTTACAGGGCGGGTTGTTTACCAAGCAGGAAGCAGGAGATAAGCGCCATCTTAGCACACTCGATGGGAGGGGTAATCTAGCTCAGGCTTTGCTCTTTCCTACAGGCCTCACGTCCGCCAAGTAAGGCGACCGGGCTTGGCCGCGGCTCCCAACATGCTGGGATTGGAGGTATGTGTGTTACACCTGCTTTAGGGTGGGTAGCCTGCACACAATCAATATAAGGGAGGAAAAGAGGCTTGCTTCTTCTCTTTTGCTGTTGTTGCTTTTGCTGTCTTCTACCACCATGAATGGTTGCCACCCTGGTTTGGTGCTAGATGATTATAGACTGAAACATCTACAAACTGAGCTAAATAAACCTTTCCTCCTTTAATGTTGAGTGTCAGGTATTTTGTCTCAGCAATGAGAAAAGCAACTAAGAATTTGGTACCAGGAGTGGGGTTGTTACTGTGACTGTACCTGACCATGTGGTTTGAGAGCCTTTTGAAATGGCTTGTGGGAAGAGTTTGGAAAGATTCAGAGATGCCAGTTGAAAAAGTGGAACTTGAATGCCTGACGCTTTTCTGTATGGGAGATTTTGGTGAGAGCTCAGAAGACCAGAAGGCTGATAGAAATCCTGCCAGTAAAAACCAAGCTTCAGAGGTTTCTGCTAGAAAGAAGGACTGTTGGACTCTAGAACATGTGTGTTATGGCTTGACAGAAAGTTTGTCTGAATTTTGCTGATATCCAGAGGTTGTATCTGTGACTGAGATTAAAGGTGGCAGATTAATTAGTCTGGCAGAAGAAAGTTCAAGGAAGTCTAATGTTGATGTGGTGCATGGCTGCTATTTAGAGCTTTTAGCTAGATTTTAGCAGAGAGCCAAACAGTGATTTAAAATGTGAGTTTGGCCAGAAAGGAAGCTCTAGTGGAGCTGTGGACTGCAAAGATGGAGTAGAACAGATCTTGATTGGTGAGAAGGAATAGGAGAATACAAAAACCTGAGAGGATCACAAGAAGCAACAAGACTCTACTCTTCACAGCCTCAAAATTGCAAAACTTTGAGAAGAAAGCCACAGAGGAACACATTCCAGAACAGTGGCAGCCACACCATGCGGCGGTGGTCTAGCAAATTTGTTGTTCAGAATTGAATTTTGGTTTTTGGATATTTTGTTTTAGCAAGGAGAGAAAAATAATGCTTAAAATGGCCTCAAACTCATAATCCTCTTACCTCAGTCTCCCAAGTGGTGGGATTATAGGCATAGGTCTTCATGCTCCACTGCAATTCGACTTCTAGAATAATAGACTGAAATTTTTTCAGGCTGATTCTCTGTGAATGTAAATCCTTCCTAGGAAAGCAGATAGATTTTTTAGAGTAAATCAAGTAAACTTTAGGCCTCACAAAATTTGAATTTTAGGAATAAATTTTTTAAAAATATGCAACACATATACATTGAGGTATATGTGTTAAGGTATACTTTGAGATATACTTATTGAAAGTTTACTGAGAGGTATAAAATAATACAAAATAAATCAAGAGATACAGATGCCATGATTGCCAATAGGAAACTTAATATTAATGTATCAGTTACCTCTCAATTTTTCTATGGATGCAAAATCCTAAAAGAATTTTTCTTTTCGTCCTGTCCCGTCCCGTGCCGTCCCGTGCCGTCCTGTGCCGTGCCGTGGCGTGCCGTCCCGTCCCGTCCCGTCCCGCCCCTTCCTTGGTAGAAATTCACAATTTGGTTCTAAAATTTAGAAGGAAATAAATATGAAAGATAGAGACCAGTGATGGTGAACCCTTTAGAGTTTACAATAATATAAACAGACTGCTGTGCATACGTGCCAAAGGTTTGCCACCGTTGATACAGAATAATCAAGAATCTTAAAAGAAAAGAACAGTATTGGAGGCCTCTGTTTTCTATCTTATTTTTAAGAGTTAGTATATGGGTACATAATGAAGAGAAATTAGTATTGATGTTCAGATAGATAAATAGATCAGTGGGATAGATCAGAGTCCAGAAATAGATTTACATGAAGAAGGTCAGGTAATTTTTGACTAAGATGTCAGGGTTAGGAATTGTGGAAAGGAGATTTTTTGAGGATTGCTGATATCCATTGGAAATAAAATAAACCTCGATCTACCTCATATAAGACCTAAAAAAAAATAATTCAAAATAAATCATAGATTTAAATGCAAAAACTATAGAGCCTGGGGATTTTAGCTTAGCAGCATAAGTGCCTACCTGGCAAGTGCAAGGTTGTGAGTTCGATCCCTGGTACAAAAAAAAGTGAAAACTATAAATAGTCTAGAAGTGAATACAAGAGGATATCTGTATAATCTTGGTATAACCAACATTTTTAAAGAATGATTTCAGAACACTGCTATAAAAATAATAAATTAGACCATCAAAATTGAAAACTTCTGCTCATTGAAAGATACAGTTAAAATGAAAAGATTCTCATAAATGGGTAGAAAATATGACATATATATCTGTCTCTGTCTCTCTCTGTCTCTCTCTCTGTCTCTCTGTTTCTCTCTCTCTCTCTCTCTCTCTCTATATATATATATATATATATACACACATATATGACCTTGGTTCATGAATAAACAATTCAGTTTGTAAAAAGAAGCATTCAGCAAAGTTTTGCTTCCATTCAAGAAATCCACATCACGTGAGGAGCACAAGTACAACCATCTTCCCCACACAAGCACGAGCATGTCCATCTTCCCTGGAATCTTGGGTGAATTAAGTTTGGGGGGGGAAAATACATATATATATGTATATACATATATATATGTATATGGAGATATATATATATATATTGGATATATATATATATATATCCAATGAGCATATGAGATGATATACAACATTGTTCATCGTCAGAGAAATGTGAATTAAATCCTTAATTTCATGCCACTTGCCATTCAAATAAATGAGTAAAATTGAAAACCCATACAATACTAAATGTTGGTGAGAATGTCAAGGAGCCTGAACCCTCTCAGTTAGTGTTGATTGGAATATAAACTTGTATAACTATCAGGTCCTGACCTAGATCCCCAATCTCCCAAACGAGTGTAGGGCAGAGGTTTAAATAAAATGAGACAAGTGGTGTGATTTTAGGGCTCCAAGAGGGCCAGAACCCTTTAGCTGAGCTCAAGATCTGAGGACTAAGGCAAAAACTTCCCTGGGCCAGCCCACTTTTATTAGGTCCAACAACAAAGGGCAGGGAAACTGAGGAAAGCATGAGAAATAAGCAGGACCTTGGCAGTCATTTCAAAGACTTCTCCAAGTAGTAAATTGTGCCACTTTAAGAGAACTGTCCTATCTTCAGGATGGCATTTATAGTAGGAGTGCTACTGCAGAGTGAAATTCCTTCAGCTGCAGTCTCTAATTAATTAGTGCTGGAGCCAAGGTGTCTGCCGCTATGGCCTTATCTTGCCTTTTGAGGTATCTCTGGCCTCACAGGCCACTGTAGGCCTCAGCCAGGACCAGTGACTCATAGAGGTTCACTTACTATGAATTGGCTCCCATCACCAGGCAAGGGCCGAGGCCTAGGACAGACTCACAGATAAACATAGAAAGCCAATTAGTAAAATTTAAATCCTGCTCAAAGCCACTATGTCGTGGTCTGCAACAATAACCACTTGGGAAAATGGCAGTTTCTTACCCTATGACTCACAAGTTTCACTCTTGGGTATTTATCAGGGAATAATAGCACTATCTAAAATATATTTGTGGAGGAATGTTTACAGAAACCTTATTTGTAATAGTCCCAAACTAGGAATACCAAAAAAGTATTGACGAGATTTTGGATAAATTCCATTACGTTCATACAGTGATATATTACTTAACAATGAAAGGTAACAAACTACTGATATTCCAACATTGCTGGGTCTCAAAAGCATTATGTTAATTTAACTACATGGACAAAAATAGACAAAATCATATTAACTTTATGAAATTTAGTAACAAACATTTACAGAAATTGGGGCAACGATTGCTTCAAGATGAGAAAGTATTAACTGAAGGGGGCACAAGGGAATTTCCTTGAGTGGTTCAAATGTTCTTGATTATTGTGATTACATGGGTGTATGCATTTTCCAAAATTCTTTGAACTGTACATTTATCTATGTATTTCACAGTATGTAAATTGAACATTTAAAAGAATATTTTTTCCCAATAGTTCTTTTTTCCTCTTAAACATTTGACCTAAGTCCAAGAATCTTCTTTAAACTTTCTTACAGCCAGCAATAATATGCACCTCTGTTTTTTATTGTTCAATTCTTTTTACCTTATTATGTTTATATGACACAGTTTAGTAGCTGAACCTTTTTTGGGTTCCATTATCTGGTCTTTCCTGATATTGATATCTTTGCTTTAAACTAGATTTCAGTGTATCTTTTTATTTTATCTTTTTATTTTCAACCAGTCGCTATGCTTATGTTTAAGGTGTGTTACTTTTAATCACTATGTGGTTGGTTTTAATTCTTTAAATGCAGTCTAGCAATATTTGTTCTTTACTGCACTTTTTAGTCCTTTCATATTTAGCATAATTACTGAAATTAGATTCAAAGTTACCATCTATTTGTTTTCTCTTTGCCCTGTCTGTTCTTTTAGGGAATTGTTATCAATTACTGCTGTTTTATTTTCTCCTGGAATAAATTGTTAATTGTAAGTCTTTAAATATATTATTATTCTGAAGGTAACTTCTTTAAATACTTCTTCTCTACTTTTCCTACAGGACCCAAGAATTCAGGGAATCCAACATATATTTTCAATAAATTATTTTAGATTTGCCCTATTACTTTAATATTTTTGAAAACTTGAAAAATTTTAAGTAAACTATTTTACCTGTTGTTTTTAGAATCACACCAAGAAAATTTGATACTGTTCAAGCATCTGAACCTTACAAAAGTGGGATTATCACCAGTGATATTGGAGACTTAACTTTAAGTAAGAGGGGAATACGAACATCATTTACATTTAGGAAAGTGAGGCACACGCCTTGTACCTGTAGTAAGTATAATTTCTACTGTAAAATGTAGTAAAATAGTATTTAAAAAGATCTTATCTCCTCAATAAAGATGTAGAGAACTTTAACTTCTTTACTGCTGTTTTCCATATTTTGCCTTCATTGTACTTTGATGTGCTTTTCTGGAAACCCACCCTCCCCCCGCCCCTTAGAGTTTCATTCTTTAAAGGCAAGGGCTCCATTTTTTTCCATCTTTGTCTTCCCCAAATTTGGTTCTTTAGCATAGTTGAGTGCCAAGAAAACATTTACTAAAGTAATAGTTAAGAGTGCTGGAATTGTAGGACAATAATGTATCATCACGTATACTAAAATAGTTTTTGTTGGAAACTACTTGCAACTTTCCAAAATTTTTGTTAATCTCAGAGGGAAATTGGAGATGACAGATTACATTATAGCAGATGGCTCTAGGGCAATAACTAGTTGGTCATAATTTAGTCTGTTTGAAATCATAAAAAGGCTAAAAGGAACTGCTGAAAAACCTGTCAAGAAGATGCCATTTTGATTTGTGTATACAAGTACATCATACCCTGGATTTCTTGAACTCAAGGAACAGAAAGTTCTTGCATTTTATAGATAATATTTTATAATGACATTAGTAAAGTTCTTTTTATATCATGGAGGTTTCTATTATGGATGATATCTACTAACAGTTTTGGAATTTAGTCATAATCTTAAAAATATTTTGAGTTAAAAACCCTTATTGTAGTTTCAAGATGTTACTGTGTTAGAAAACTTGAAATCTCTGTATTTGATGTTTTGATGAATGAAGTATAAAATAAATTTTTGCTTATTTTGCTAAAAGTGTTCTCAAGGCCTTAAAATGAGATTTTTTTTTTTTTTTGTCTTTTTTTCCTTTTTATCGGTACTGGAGATCGAACTCACGACTGCCTGCTTGCAAGGCAGGTGCTTATGCCGCTGAGCTAAATCCCCAGCCCCTAAAATGATATTTTTAAAATGAAAAAAAATGCTAATGTAGTATTTGATGAGTGCTTCATACTCCCCATAAAGTATAGAAATATGCACCTTATGTTTTCTGGGTACTTAAGTCTACTTGGAGAACTGCTGTAGTTTAGATCTAAAATGTCTGCAAGAACCCTCATGGGTATGGAAGATAGTTAAATCACAAGCATGCTTTATGGAACAGTGGATTAAGTAAAGAGTTGACCTTGCTGCCCTCTACCTTCCTTTGCTCTTGCTTTTTGGCTGCCATGAGTTGAACACCTTTTGCTCTTCCATGCCCCTCTGCCATCCATTCCTGCTTTGAAACCAAATGACTATGGAATTAAACTGTGACCCAAAATAAAGCCCTCCTCCTTTAAATTGTGATGTTGGTATTTTGTCCCAGCAATGAGAAGGTGATTAAGATGAGGAAAGTAGTATTCGTAATGCAAATGTTTCTTAGTTGTGGACATTCATTAAATTTAACAGAAACTCTAAGAAGCTCTGATTGAATCTTCAGTTTACAATTTTTTAATTGACAAAATTTATTTATTATGTACAGCATGATTTTGAAATATGTGTACACTGTGAAATGGCTAAATCTGGCTAATTCACATGTGCCTTGATCAGATAATTTTTTGTGGTGAAAGCACTTAAAATCCATTCTCTCAGTGATCTTCAAGAATATAAGTCATTGTTTTTAAATGTAGTCACCATATTATGAAACAAGTTTTTTAAACACTTTTTTTTTAAGTGAAATTTTGTGTCCTTTACCAGACTAGCATCTGGTAGCCCAATACTGTTCCACCTTTACCCTCAGCCTTTGGTAACCTCTATTCTCTGCTTCTCTGATTGCAGTTGTATTATAGTTTCCTTGTAAGTGAGATCATGTGGTATTTGTCTTTCTATGCCTGGCATATGCTCTTTAGCATATGCCCTTCAGGTTTATGCATGCTGTTGCAAATGACAAGGTTTTTTTCTTTTTAAAGAATGAACATTATTAGAGTGTGTCACGTTTTAAAAATTCATTTACTTATTAACAGACACTTGGGCCATTTATCTTAGCTATTGTAAATAGTGCTGCAGTGAATATGGGAGTGGAGATATCTCTTTTCTATGGTTATTTCATTTCTTTAGGTATCTGCTTTCCATCAGAGAGATTGCTGAATCATATGGTAGTTCTGGTTCCAATTTTGGGGGGACACTTTGTGTCATTTTCTATAATGACTGTATTTTCACTCCTTTTAGCAGAAGTGCAAGGATTTTCTTTTCTCCACATCTTTGGTAATTCATGTTATTTTTTGTCTTTTTGATAATAGCTATTCTAACAGATGTGATTTGACATCTTGTAAGTTTAATTTACATTTCCTTGATGATTGGTGAGGTTTCCTCTTTTAGAGTCATCCTTTATATAATTTTGGTCAAAATTTGCAGATTTTCAAGTGAAAAGAGTTACTTCTACATTTAGACAACTTGGATTTAAATTTTCAGGATAATAAAATTTCACCAAGATCAGTTTAGGATAATCATAATACATATTGTGGTATACTTGTAATTCTAATATAATCAATGTGACATAACTTGTCTGTTTTCACATGTATGTTTCAGAATCTTCAAGCTTTTGGGGCTATTACTTTCTCAAATATCCATTTAAAATATTTAACATTTTCTTTGCTCATCCATGGGTTAGGGTTTCTCAAGGTCAGGATAAATCTAGTTATATTTAAGGAAGATAATTTTGTTTTATGTCCAATACAAAAGCCTTAAAAACCACTGCTGAATTCTTTCCTGTCATGTGATTTCTTCTTATAACTGCAATACTGTCTGTAACTTCTCTGGAAATATTACTTCTTCCTATATTCCTAGGATAGTACCTGTAACAACATAAATGCCACAGACCTTGGCAGAAGACAAACTAGAGCATAGCAGAATTGGCAGGAATATATGATCAGTTTAGCTATTATAACAGAATAGAGAGCATCTTCAAAATTAATTTGAGACATTAAATTAGAAATTTCTTGTGTTGTCTCTCCTTGGTAGTATTCTCCTTTGGGTTTGCTTACTCTGTGGAAGAAGAAGGCAACGTAGTATAGGTACTGAGTAAAGTAACTACAATGCTGAGGTCCAAGTTTTGACTGTGTGATTTACTATCTCTGTCATTCTAGGAATGTTATTTACCTTCTTTGTGTTGATCTTTCCTCATCTATAAAGTGGTTGTATTAGTATGTACCTTATAATATTGTGGAGAGAATTGAGACAATATAAAGAAAGTTTATCAAATAATATTCAGTAAATGGTTGTGATTATTACCAAATGATTCACTATTTCCAAATTTTATTTTTCTTCTGAGAGTACTAGGGTCCCTAGAACACTTATTTCCTTTAGCAAAGGAAAAACCTTAGGTCCTGTTTAGTTACATTTGTCACAGTTAGGCTCTACCTATCAAGATGCTTTCTGAATAAAAGGACTCTGAATCTCAAGATGAAATAGGCATCTACATTCTAAGGCAGATGCAACTTATAGTCATAGCTGTCTATAAATGAATGTTTTCCTTCCTTTTATATTATATAATCCCTTGCACATATAATTAGACTTATCAGGGAAGGACTTTATTTAACTGATAAATCAGAGCCTTTCTATCTTTAGTCACTAAATCTGCATTGTTTTGAGAAAACTTGGTACGTTGTGCATCTTTGAATAAAGAAAGGTTTATGTTGCTTTATTTTTTTTTCATTTAGGTTACTCTTTGGTCTGTGACAGCCAGAGGAAAGAGACTCCTCCCTCACTTCCAGGGAGTGACAAAGAAGCATCACAACTGGAACAAGAATATGTCCATCGAGTTTATGAAGAGATCGCTGGGCACTTCAGCAGCACGAGACATACTCCTTGGCCGCATGTTGTGGACTTTTTGAAGGCTTTACCAGATGGTTCGATAGTGGCTGATATTGGATGTGGCAATGGAAAGTATCTTGGCATCAATAAGGAGTTATATATGGCAAGTGAAGTTGCTTGACTTTTGCTGTACTTGCAGTGGTTGTTATCTTTCTCAAGATATATGCTATGTGTAAAGGCACTACAGAAAAGTGATAATCGATTAAAAGTTAGTGAACATTTCCTTTCTTTATTATTCCCCTAGAAATTTATGGGCATGCCATCAGTTGTAGCTTTTTGCTCACTTTAGATTTTTCTTTCCAGTAAGACTATTTTATCAGGAACAGTTATACATAAAACTCCATAGATTAGAAAGTCTTTTTATAGAAACAAATTTCTTTGCTAGGATCCTTCTGAGTATGAGAAAACAAAGTGGATATTGTAATTGGTCTTAGAAATAAGGAACTGAAGCTTCATAGACTGAGATTATTTTCCCTGGGATTATATAATGAGACATAACTGAAACTTAAACTTCCAAATAAGGCATTATTTTACTTACAGCAGAAAGAAAAAGTGTGCTGGGGCAGGGGATTTAGCTCAGTGGCGTAAGCACCTGCCTTGCAAACAGGCGGTCATGAGTTCAATCCCCGGCACCGGTAAAAAAAAGAAAAAAAGAAAAAAAAAAAAAAGGAAAAGAAATAGTGTACTATTAGGTAACACTCAGATTGATTATGCACTGATTATGCACTGATTATGTATTGGACTCAGAACACATTCAGTTCTTATTTGTTTCCAGGGTAAGCTTGTACTTAATAATGTGGATTTTTCTTGGTAGTTATGCATAAGTTGAGATTGCCAGTATAACATTCAATCATACCAGCAGTCTATTTATAGCAGTATGTTTATATAGGTTTATTCTGTATGCATTTGGTCTTATTTTGTTATTAACTTATATTGACTACCCCAGAAAGAGAAAGAACAGAAGGGAAACTAACAGTTTCTGCTGTGTACCAAGAAGTGTTGTGCTTGTTTTCTCATATGTGAAATCAACAAGATTGATATTACTGCCTCTATTTTACCAATGAGAATATTGAGACTCAGTCAGGTTATGACATGCCCAAGGTCACATGGTGTCAGGGCATGTCTTATTGCCTCTTCTCAGACTATAGATTCCATACTCTGTGAAGCTGCCAGAGAGACCTTGAAGACTTAACTACAGTGTCAGAAAGCACCACGCTATAAATTCCAAGATGCTTGGAATCATCTGTTTTATTCTACAGTTAGTTAGCGTGTAGTAGTAGAAGTTTATTAATGGTTTGCTCAGTGGTGAGGAGTCTCCAGTTTCTTACATGGAAACTTTCATGAAAGCAAAATACACACAGTGCTGTGTTCTGCAACTATGAAGGAATATGACAGCCTCAAAATGAGCAGGTCCAGGGGCTGGGGATTTAGCTCAGCGGCATAAGCGCCTGCCTTGCAAGCAGGCAGTCGTCAGTTCGATCCCCAGTACCGATAAAAAGGAAAAAGACAAAAAAAAAAAAAAAAAAAAGAGCAGGTCTGAACTAAGGATAAATGCTTTAAACTTTACTTTGCTGGTCCTATGTAGAATCCAGGACAGGATTTTTTTGTCCAGCTCTTGTTTCTTAGGTAACAGTTACTAGCACTACATTGTACTTCTATGGTTAATAAAATATTCATTCTCTGCATTTCATTTGATTCTGAGAAATGAGTATTTTTATTGTTTTTAGAGGAAGAAACAGAAGTTCGCAGATTATAAGTAGCTTTCTGAAGTTGTTCACCTGGTTTTTGCTGAAGCAGGATTAAGGACTGGAGTTTAGTGTCTCTTTTCCTTACACTGCACTGCTTTTGTCTGTTTCTCTGTACTTTAAATTATTAGCATCAGCCCGATTTTCTTTTTTTTTAAATTAGATTAAATTTAATTTAATTTTAAAAATTAAGATAAAAGAGGACATAAAAACACAGGTCAGAACAGAACAATTTAAACAAAATAGTGTTTCACCACAAGACAACCTGATATAACAGTAGCTACCATAGCGTCTCTTTCCTTGAAATATTTGAGTATACCTTGATATACTATAATATCAAACATAAAAAGACAGTGTAAAACCATTCAAGAGAATGAAAGTATTACAGTGTATTCAGAACCAACTAATGGAAAATGAACAGTGGTTACTATATTATCTCCTTGTCTATAAAAAATTTTGTTTATACTATCACATATAATAAAATCCAATCCAATTTTCCTATGTTTTCTTAATAATTTAAAAATCTTACATTTTTTAAAAAAAGGTTTTAACCATCATTCCAAAAACTTATGAAAGATAATCACCTATAATCCTATGACCTAATAAATCAATGTATTGTGATAATATCCTTTTAATTGTTTTCTTATAAATATTTTGTATATGATGAGCATTGTGCAGTTTGATAACTCTTTTATACCACTTAATATTTTCATTTTGACAAAGTTTCTGGATTTATCAGGTGGATGTTACTATTTGGTTGTTTGCAGCCTTGAGATGTTATAAAATACCATGGTAGGGTTAGACTGTAGCTTAGTGGTGCAGTGCTTGTCTAGCATGTTTGAAGCCCTGGCTTTGACCCTTAGCATCACCAATAGAGAAGAAGGCAGGAAAGAAAAGAAAGGAAGGAAGGAAGGAAAGAACATAGGAAGGAAGGATGGAGTGAAGAATTGCACACTTAAAGATTTTAAGAAGGCAGATATGTTATGGTATTCAAGCTAAAATAAAATAAATTCTTTTAAAAATTTAGAAAACACTAGTAAATATATGTGTGTGTGTGTGTGTGTGTGTGTGTGTGTGTGTGTATGTATGTGATTATGTGTATTTTTCCATAACATTGATATCGAGAACAAATATAATAAGGAAGAATATGACTTTTTGAAATGAGAAAAACTCAATTTTTAAGTCTCTGTCAACCCCCTTCCCATCCCTCTTCTACTACTTTATTGTTAAATTTTAGGAAAACTACTTTTGATGAAGTTTCCTTGTCTATAATATGATGATGCTTCTCCTTAACTCAGAGTACACCATTAAGATTGAATACATTAATTTGAACATTTTGCTTTAATATACAGAGGAATGTCAGAAAAAAATCTGTTAAAGTAGCTATTAGCCTGATTTTAAGTGGTTAAGCCAGTTCATACTGTCACCAGTGATATATGAAAAAGTTTCATTATTCTGTCATCACTGTGATGTATTTTAATTTTAAAATATTTTGATAGTTTAATATGAAAAATTTAGAACCTTATTTTAATTTACAACTTTGATTACTAAGTTGAACCTTTCTTAATTGCCTGTACTTTCCGAATTTTTGTTGAAGTTTTAAAAAAATAGAGTAACAATATATTTCAAGTCTAATATGTATTTGTATGTCATTAATCTCCACCCAGCACACATAGATATAGCTTTCTGATAGTCCTGTATATATGTAGATGTTTATAAATTAGCTATTTTTTTGTCCTGCTATTGAAATTCTGCAACATTATTAGGGATGATTTCAAATACTTGATAGAGCAGCTGAACCCCATGCCAAGAAACAGAACACACACTGCAAGGTCGACACAAGGGGTTTTAATCAAAGGAAGCAGAAGTGGCACTTTACGTAATGGACCAGGGCAAGATACTCAGGGCAGGCTTGAACAGGGTTTTTGTCACAGTTAAAAGGGATGTGCGGGTAGATACTTTCAATCATGGGCTGAGAACTGTGGGTGGCTCTTGTACTTTCTATGTGACGTGTCTTTCTCTGGAGGAGGTTGGCAGCTGCACTCTCCGTTACAGGGAGTATTTCCTTGTTCTTGTATTAGGCTCTTGTAACGTGGCAATGGACATTTTGTCCCTATGTTCAGGCTTTTACAGTCGGGGGGGGGGGGCTGGTTGCTGTTGGCCAGATCTACCAAATACTAACTTTAGTGATTGGACTATAGCATGTGGAAGACGCCAGCAATAGATGAATGAAAGATGAAAGTACTGAGTCACATGAGTGTGAGAAGCTAAAAGAAACAATGTGTGTGTGTGTGTGTGTGTGTGTGTGTGTGTGTGTGTGTTTAAGATAGATATTCTACTGATTCCTCTGAGTTTCACTGAAGAAAAAGAGTTGTGCTAGTATTGTTTGGACAATTGAATGCAGATGACTTGTGCTCTAGGTGAATGATTTGGGGATGATTGTTGCCCTCTGATTTGATGTGTTTTGAAATTTTGTTTTAGGTTTCTTGTCTTTTTTTTTTTTTTTTTTTTCTCCTTGAAGTAAAATGGGTTTTTAAAAGGAAGAAAGAAGGAAAGAAAGTACTACTAAGCCAAGCATGGGTCAGTTTCTTGTGAAGGGGAGAATCTATAATAGACCTGGTGTTTTGTGACTAAAATTGCTTGTGCTCTTTTTGTTAGTAAAAAGGAATGCTGCATACAAATAGCCATAAAAACCTGGCAAAGAAGAGTGAAATTTTCTCTTGTTTTATTTGGCTGCTGTTCTCCTTGTTCTGTTTCATCCGCGATTCTCAGATAATAACTCTCCTCCTCTGAGTAGATATTGAGCTCTTTCTCTGAGGATATGTTTTATAGGCAGATTGGATTTCTTCCTGTTGGCTTTTTAAGGTTTAGCTTGTTATGAGAATTGGGTATACTTGAAACTTCTGACTCTGTGGACTGAATTTATATATAACAAAAAATGGCAAGTACCAAACTCTAATATATCTTATTTGGGTGGTGGTTTTATCTTGGTACTATGACTGTTAGCTGATTAGCAAAGAATATGGGTGAAAATAATAGTATTGTCAGGCATAGATCTTACACAGCTAAGGGAAGCAATGAATTGGAAATGTTGCCACTGTTTTATTAATAGTCTTTTAGTGCTTTTCTGTGTTAAAATATTAAAGAGAAATTACTATACCTTTAGATTGATATCTTTTATTCTGTTAGAAATTAAAAGAGCTCTTTTTACAAGCTATTTAATAACAATAGAAATTGAGTGAACTCATTAAATATGACCAGCCTGGGTGATTTTTTAACTCAGTAAGAATTGTTTGGTGTGAAGATTCATATTGTTTATTCTCAGAAGGACTGAGTAAACTTTAAGGATTAATGTTCAGTATATCAAAAAAATTAAATTAGTAAATAGGAGATGGAATCGACCACTTGTGTTTGATTAAATCTGCTTGTATAATTCTATTACTGATTATAGCAATTAAGAAATGTCTGAGAAAATACTAATCTTAAACCCCTTCCATGCCTTCCTTATTTTACATGTGCATATAGCAGGTGTGTATGTGTGCATAGGGACATTCTTAGAAGGAAGCAGCAAAGTTATGTACAAAGACAATAAGACTATGGAAAATACGGAAAGTCCCAGGCCCACTGAGCCAGAGAAGTGCATCAAGCACATTAGACGTCACCTGTCTGGAGAGACGAAAACCTGATGCTGGTTGCCTTCAATGTTCTCATTCCCACGGAACTGTTATTCTAAAAGTTTTCACCAAGTGGTATCTTACAAACTTTTTTTGGTGTGTGTGTTTTTGAGACAGGATTTTACTATACAAGTCAGGCTGGTCATGAGCTCACTTTGCAATGCAGATTGCCTAGAACAGCCTTGAACTCACAGCAGTCCTCCTGCCTCAGCTGCTTAAGTGCTGGGATTATAGGTGTGTGCCACCACACCCGACAGTATTTTACAAATTTTGAATTCAATGTTTTATTCTATTCTGTTCTACTTTACTGTACTCTATTTATTTTCAAATCCATTTTATTTCAAAGAGTAAAAATAAAATTTCAAAACACAACCATCAGGGGAAGCACTTTGTTCTTGATAAGATTATGTATTTAGTAGAAAAAGATTCAGTAGCTTTAAAAAGTGACATATTAGTTTATTATTTTTGTTTGGGGAAGATTTTATTTTCTGATTATGTGAAAAGTAAAGAAGCAAGATTTAAAAAAATCATCCATCCTCCTGTTATCTGGGCCATCATGGTGTGGTATGAATAGTATGAGAGGCATCTTAGAGCATCTTTGTAGCTTCCCTTCAAAGATGACATGTGTATGTTTATTGGATAATTTTGATTTTTTAATGTGTAAAGATATGATTTTAAATGATCAATTTGGAGCCAATTTGGACCTCCAGTTTTCACTGCTGTCACTTTTTTTCTAGTTATTTTGTTTCCATTCACTAGTTTGAGTTGTTTGATATCTTTTAAGATAATTACTGCCTTGAGTAATTATATATTCTGACTCTGTACTGGCTATAAGAACTGCTGATGTCGTAGTGTTAGATTATGTGATAGTGAAGTATAGAATAAACCCATAACTCTTAGTTTCTTGTGCTATTTAAAGAGAATATTATTAAATTATTTTCTTTCTCTACTATAGATTGGTTGTGATCATAGCAAAAACCTTGTGGACATTTGTAGAAAGAGGCAATTCCAAGCCTTTGTCTGTGATGCACTGGGAGTCCCAGTTCGCAGTGGATCTTGTGATGCTTGCATCTCCATAGCTGTTATTCACCATTTTGCAACACCAGTAAGTATTTTTTTTTTTCCTTCTCTAAGAATATGCAACTAAAGTTGCAGGAAAAGTGCATGGATTTTATGGTTTTGGTTTCTGATTTAGCTTTTCATGTCTTTCCATTTCTTTTCTTTTTTTTTGTCTTTTTCGTTTTTTTATCGGTACTGGGGATCGAACTCACGACTGCCTGCTTGCAAGGCAGGCGCTTATGCCGGGGAGCTAAATCCCCAGCCCCTCCATTTCTTTTCTTATCTCACAATTGGTCCTTTGTAAGAGAGCATGTGTAATGAAGATAGGTTGTTCAAAGGCCTGATGGGATTCTTTGCCTTTATTGCTGCATGACTTAGCCTTTTTTTACCCTACATCTCATTCTGAATGCCTTTCTTCAAACTCAGTCACTGAACTTTAGCTGGAAGAGACTTTGAACTCATAAGTTCTACATCTCTCTCTCTCTCTCTTTCATTTGTTCGTTCTTTCTTTCATTTGTCTTTTTGAGACAGGGTCCACTGTGTAGGTCAGGCTGGCCTATAGCTCACTTTGCAGTCCACGTTAGTGTCAAACTTGCAACACTCATCACACCTCAGCCTCTCAAGTGTATCACAATGCCCTGCTAGTTCTACACCTCTTGAGTGTAGTCTTCAGATTGATTATCTTTGTTTTTCTTTCTCATTCTATATTTCTATCACTGACATGGGATTCGTAATTTCTTCTATTTTGTTCCTTTCCTATTCTTTCTTCACAATGCTGTGCTATTTATGTGACAGTTGTATACTTACTCTTTAAATATGCTCTTAATTATAAAATAAATGAATTTTAATATTTCCCATTTACCATTAGGGAGTGTACAACCTCCTTTTCCTGGATGTCCAAGAGTTTCTTCCTTGATCTAATTAAGAACTATATAGCTCGCTTTTAAAAAATTTATTTATTTTTGGTAATTGGCATTTTCAGTAGACCTTGTGGTTTTTAATTTTTTTTAAATTTTTATTTTATTTATTTATTTATTTATTTATTGGTAGTGGGGATTGAACGCATGACCTTGTACTTAGCATGTAAGCACTTGAGCCACTGAGCTAAATCCCCAGCCCCCTAAAATTTTATGTTAAAGAGAAAAAAATGCAGAAAATGAAAAAACAAGAGACACACAAACAACTGTAAGAACAACAAAAAACCCAAAGCAACAACAGTATTGAATTTCAAAACAATATGACATGAATTTAACAATAGTTGTAATAATGCATATTGCTATCTTCAAAAGAGTTGCTTAGATACCCAATATAGACATACAAAATTGATCTGATCATATAAATATTAACTTTTCCAAGAACTAATAGAATTAGTAGTATAATCATCTTAGCTATTTTGTGTTTATATAAGCAAATTTATATCTTTTTCTTTTCCCTTCCTTTTCTCCTTTACCCTATCCTAGTTATTTTTCCTCTTTATCTTTCCTTTTTTCTTACCTTTTCACTATAAATGTTGTAAATTTTGGATTTTATTTGCTCTTTCAGTTTCTTACACTAAGGAGAAAGTATTTACTTAGTATGTACAGTATTTACAAGAGTCTGATTTAATTCACTTAGGAGTATGGTCTCTAGTTGTATCTAGTTATCTATATAAACCTTGATGTGACCCTTCTTTATAGTTGAGTGGTGGTACTCCATTGTATAAAAACACTATAACTTTTTTTATCCATTCCATGGTTGATGGGTATTTGGGTTGTTTCCAAGCTTGGCTATTTCAAATTCTGCTGCTATAAACATGGTGCATGTATATCACTATGGTAGGATACTTTCAATTCTCTAGAAAAATTTGCAGAAGCAGGATAGCTGGGTCAAATGAGACCTCTAATCCTAGCTTTTTGAGGAACAGCCACACTGATTTCCACAGTGGTTGCACCAGTCTACACTCCCACCAACAATGGAAAAGGATTCTTTTTTCCCCATTCCCCTCCAGCATTTGTTACTGATTGATTTCTTTATCTTGACCATTGTTTCTGGAGTGAAATAAAATCTCAAGTGTTTTTTTAATTTGCATTTCTCTAATAACCAATGATGCTGAATGTTTTTTCATATACTTATTTGCCATTTGTATTTCTTTATCTGAGAAGTGTATATTTATCTCAGATGCCCAATTTTGGATTGGGTCTTTGAATTTTGGGATCCTGATCTTTTTAAATTCTTTATATGTTCTAGTTAGAAGTCTTTTGTCAGCAGGACAGTTGGTTAAGATTTTATTCCCAATTCATAGGTTTTCTTTTTACTGTGTTGGAGATTTCTTTTGACATGTAGAAGCTTTTTACAAGAGAAGAGCCCAGTTGTTGATTTTAGGAAGTATTTCCAGTTCAAGTTTTGTTTATGAACTCTCTACCTCCCCTTACGTCTTGAAGATTTCTACCTACTTTGTGTTCTAGCAGATTTAATGTTTCTGTTTTAATATTTAGATCTTTGATCCACTTTGACTTTAGTTTAGTGCATGGTGATTGGCATGGTCTAGTTTTAGTTTTTGTCGTAAGGAAAGACAGTTTTTCCAGTACCACTTATTAAAGAGGTTGTCTTTCTTCCAGTGAATGTGTTTGACCCCTTTGTCAAACATAAAGTGGCTGAGTGTGTTTGTAGTTGTGGATGCATTTTCTAATCAGTTCCATTGATCTTCAAATCTGATTTTACTTCAGTACCATGCTGATTTTATCACAGTAACTTTGTATTATAATTTCAGGCCAGGCATTGTGATGCCTCCTGCTTTGTCTTTGTTGCTGAGAATTGCCTTTGCAATTCTAGGTCTCTTGTGGTTCCATATGAATTTTAAGAACAATTTCTCTAGATCTGTGAGACATGCCTATGGTATTTTGATTGGAATTGCATTAAATCTCTATAACAGTTTTTAGGAGAATGGCCATTTTCACAATGTTTGTTCTTCCTATCCATGAACAAGGAATGTATTTCCATTTTTGAAATCCTCTTTAATTTCTTTTTTCAGAGAAATCTAATTTTCAATGTATAGATCTTTTATTTCCTTTGTTAAATTGACTCCTAAATATTTCATTTTTTTATGCTATTGTGAAGAATATGATTTTCCTTATTTCTCTTTCAGTGAGTTTGTTGTTTGTATACAAGAATGCTATTAGGTTTTTTTTCAATACTATTGATTTTTGAATATTGACTTTGTGTCCAACTACATTACTGAATTTGTTTATTAGATCTAGAAGTCTTTCAGTGGAATTTTGGGCGTCTTCTATGTAGAGTATCATGTCATCTAAAAATAATAATTTAACTTGTTCTTTTCCTGTCCTTATTCCTTTTACTTCTCCCTTGTCTAATGTTTTCAGAACTATATGGAGAAATGGTGATAGTGGACATCCGTGTCTTTTTCCTGATTTTACTTTGAAAGCTTTCATTTTTTTTTGTTCATTTAGTAAGATGTTGACTGTTGGTTTATTGTACATGGTTTTTATCAGATTGAAGTAAAGACCATCTACTCAGATTTTCTGTAGGGTTTTTATAATGAATGAGTGTTGGAGTTTGTCAAAATCTTTTCTGCATCTGTTGAGATAGTTATGTGATTCTTGTCTTTGGCTCTAATGATATGATTGTTGCATTTACTGATACATGTATGTTGAACCATTTCTGCATCCTGGGATGAATTCCACTTGGACATGGTGTAAAATCTTCTTGATGATTCACTGCATTGTGTTTGTCAGTACTTTATTGAGGATTTTTGCATCTATGTTCATTAGAAAGATTGACATGGTTCTCTTTTTCAGTTGGGTCCTTCTCTGGTTTTGGTATTAGAATAATACTTGCTTCCAGAAATGAGTTAGGAAGAATTGCTTCCTTTTTGGTTTCATTGAAGAGTTTGAGGAGTATTGGCATTAAGTCTTCTCTAAATTTTTTGTAGAATTCAGCAGTGAATCGATCAATACCTGGGCTATTCTTTGTTGGTAAGGTTCTAATTACATTTTCAATTTTATTAACTGAAATTGGGTTACTCAGCTGTTGTACATCTTCTTGACCCAGCTTTACTAACTCAGGTTTCTAGGAATCTGTCCATTTCTTCTGTTTACATAATCTGAGAATAAGATTTTTGAAGTAGACATTGATGATCTTCTGTGTTTCCACAGGGTCTGTAGTGTAGTATTTCACCCTTTTCATTTCTAATTGCATGAATTTGAATTTTTTCATTCCTTATTTGATAAGGTTGGCTAGCAGCTTATCAATTTCATTTATTCTTTTAAAGAACCAACTCTTTGATTCATTAATTCTTTGTATTGTTTTCTTAGTCTCAACTGAATTGATTTCTGCTCTGATCTTTGTAATGTCTTCTCTTCTTTGTTTGTTTTTAAATTTTATTTTAAAGAGGGTTAAAATTAAACAACAAAACAGAACAAAGCAGATTAGAAGAAAACAATGTAAGAGACACAGATTTCAAGGCAAGACAACTGGAGATTTTCACTATCTATCATATTGTCTCTTGTTTTCTTCCAAATAGTTGTCCATATCTTCACATACAGTGAATTCATACAAAACAAAATAGATAAAATGATCAGAACAGGATGATGAAGGCATTTTAGGTCTTCAAGGCCAGACAATAGGAAAGTCAACAATGGCTGTCATAAGGTCTCTCATTCTCTTCAAAATAGCTGTCCATATCTTGACATATGTTGAAATTAAACAAAACAGACTAAAATCAGTTTGAACAAAGAATAATAGTATTGCTGGATTTCACATCATGACGCTACACAATCAGCACTGGGTACCTTAGTGTCTTTTTTTCTTCAAAGTAGTTGTTCATTTCATCATGCATTGTATAATCAATTCTCATAAATTGTTAGAAGTTCTATACATGCATGAGTCTCTACATATATTTCTGTATTAGAGGGAAAAACAAAACAAAACAGATTTCTAGAAAAGCATGAAATGAAAAAGACACATAAAACCACAATACAAGGTGATCTAAAATGGTTACTATAATGTCTCTTGTTACCTTCAATAGAACTGTCTATATCACCAGGCATA